TATTTTGATGTAAGTTTTCGTGGAATATGTTCACCATCATCCATGCTTACTAGTGTGATGGGGGTTGTAGGCCACAAACATCTGGAGCACCATCCTTGCTTTAGGGCAGTGGTTCCCAGCCTTGGGTCCCCAGATGTTCTTGGACTACATCTCCCAGAAATCTTGGCCAGCACACCTAGTGATGAAGGCTTCTGGGATTTTTAGTCCACGAACATCTGTAGACTTGAGACTGTGGAAACCATTGCATTAGGGACTTACGTTGGTGCAGTAAGAACTGGGATGTCTCAAGAAGACAGATACTCTTAGCATTCTTAGTACAATTATTCAAAAGGCACTGGGCAAGAAATCCAGATTTTCAAGATGCTTCCAGAACTGAGCCTTCATTGTAGCCTTACAATGTCCCATTCCATTAAGTCTGCTGGGAATCTCAACACTTCAATAATAACCACAAACATTTTTGAGTAATGAGGATGCTAAAAAGTTAAATTTCAAAATTAACTTAATAGGAAGCAGGGTCTGCATTTGTTTCCTGGCAGAAGAAGCAACATTTTCTAGTTACACTCAAAAGTTACCTTTCAAATACACTTTAACGCAGTGGTCCCCAACCTTGGGCCTCCAGATGTTCTTAGTCTACAGCTCCCAGAAGCCTTCATCACCACCTTTTCTGGCCAGGATTTCTGGGAGTTGAAGTCCAAGAACATCTGGGGGCCCAAGGTTGAGGACCACTGCTTTAAGGCATCTTACATATAAATATTTTCACGTTCATTGCACTTTTAAACAATCCTAGTTTTTAAAGCAAGGAACAGAAAGTAAGAAACAGCCCAACAAATAATATGAACATTTAGGGGTTTCCACCACCACCACCATTGTAAGAAGTAACAACAATATGTTACTTTTCAAACATTCCAACAAATAATGGGAATTACTTTTTAAAAGTAACTTTCCAAAATCTACTGCAGCTATTCCATCTCTTTACCTCGAATGATATCTTTTTTTTCTGATAAGGAAAAAGATGGGGGAAACAGTGGAAATCTGAAGGCTGTGAATTGAAGACAACAATATCTAGGTCCCTCTCAAACTTAACTGGGCTGGGGCGCAATCTGTGTTCAAGCCCCTGCTTGGAGTAGGGCTGGTTTGGGGTCAATGTGGCCCTCCAGCTTAGTCTCCAATGGACCCTGAATCCCAAAAGATCACAGAGACATCAGCAGTATAGTGATCCTACCATGTTTGCTTGGAACTACATCTCATCCGAAGGCAGCAGAGTAAGGGTGCACAGAATCAGATCTGCAAAAATTTCCTTTTAAAGACTAATCTCGGAACCTCTCACCTCTCCATTCCGAGAACGGCAGCCCCAAAGTAACTCTGCATAGGACTGGAGGCTCAGTGGGCAAAGCCCATCCTGCCTTCAACCTCCTTGGAGAAAGGATAACTAAGTACTCAAAAGCAGTAGACAAACAATATTCAGGGAGGAGTGAAACAAAACAGCAGCAACAGTCATCTCTGGGTGGAGAGAATAGTTTTTTTCCTTTGCCGTATTTACGATTATCCTTCAGAGGAACCTCCTTTTTCCTTTGCTGTATTTACGATTATCCTTCAGAGGAACCTCTGTTTTTGAGACAGGCCCCCAGAGTGCCTCCTGTAATGAACACTGATATCTCCTTAGGTACCATGTACGTATAAATGATGGGTGAAATTCTATCCAGGGAAAGAGCAAGAGCGTGTGCATATGTAAATAATAAGGAAAAAGAGCAATTTGGCACTATGTTGTTAATACTGCAACGCGTACGGTGAAGTATAAAACAGTCGCCACAAGACTAGGCTCTTGAAGCACACTTCCGAAATCTTGGATACATCCCGAAGTGCATGTTCAGTTCCTGCTGGATCTCCCTTCACCATCCCACACTTCGCCTGTGTGCCCACACAGAGGTCCGTGATCAACTCGATGTGACATTTGTCATGTTGTTCAGCATGGCACAGTTGACGTTGGCTGAATCAGAAGAGGACCCTGGCATGGGGGGGGGAGGTTTTAAGGGTGGGTTTTCAGTATGCCCCACTCCATCCAGGGTTGGTGGAAGAGCCGCTGGCACTTTGTCTAACTTGAACATCAGCATTTGATCCTGCTAGATTTAGCCCTGCCTTCCTAGGCGAGCCCGGTAATCCTAGGGGTGCTCCCACTTATTCCAGTGACACGTCTCTGCACACTTCGCACCCTAACATTAAGAAATGTACCTTGTTATCCCTGTTCAGAGGGATCCACTGCAGGCAGGTATACTCACCTACACTTCCCTGAGGGAAGTCCTGCACCCCCCACACAATCTTGGATGGGCACATATAACGATCCAGAGCTATAGACATCCCTCTGTTCACATCCTGTGACAATCATCCCATTTCATAGCCTTGTGCACATGCGCTTTCCTATGACCAGATACAGATGTTTCCACTCTTAGCAAAGCTGATCCTTCTGCACAGTTATGGGGCCCTTGTGCATTTGCATATATGATGAACCAGTCACATGCTCCTGGGTCCGTATCCAGAAGACGACTCACATGGACTTTTGCAGTCAAGTACGCACATCCAAATCAACCCCCAGCATACGGACTTAAAGAAATCAGATCACTTAAGAATCGATGTTTTCATGTGTGGGAAAGAGCTTGGAATTGAATATTTACATAGGAGGTAGCTATGTACCACTAGTTACTTTATGGACAATAAAAAGTTAAGAAATAATGATAGTTACTGTAGAAGTAATATAACAAGCAGTTATACAGTTACTTTTAAGTGTAAGGAATACTTTTTCTAGTTACTTTCAAACATTGTTTTTAAAGGAAATTTTATAGCATATTTAGAGGTATTTCAACAGGAATTTGTCAGATTTTATGGCATTCTCTTGTCAATCCTCAACAGCAAAAATGTACTGCCGGTATTTCATTATGGACTTCTGGAAATATTTACTGGATACAGTATCAGACTTGGCCACTACGTACACAGTCCTTCCCTATACCGTTTATATTAGACGATACAGCAAACTACCAGGAGGAGAAACAACTAGAACCACCACTACCAGACTACACAAAAGTAAGAGCAACATCAGTTTCTTTTAATAAGCAACATTCCACACTCTGATCTGGGATATTTCTTCTGCTCTGTATTCTATTATAACCAGTCTGAACTTTTCAATAGACTAAAAATCCAAATTAAAAAAAAATGCACATATGAGTTCACAGGTGCCTTCTCTTTTACCTAAAAAGATGTGCCTCTTACTTCCTCCCTGGACCCAACTTTTTTGCTTTTCAGTACAGGAGAGCACCCTGGTCTCTTCCCCTGGTGTCATTTTTCTTGCACAGCAATTGTGCCAGCTCCTCGTGGAGCTTTGCAGTGGGAGTTTGAACCCAGATCCTCCAAAAAGTACTCCAACACTGTTGTCCTAACACCACGCTAGATGGTCACAGACATATTTCTAAAGCCTCTTCCCACCAACACACACACACACTTGGCTTTGAAATGCACATGCCCCTATGTCTTGCACACTCACTTAGTTGTGCACACGAGGATTTTTGATTCCATTCTCAAGAGGACACATGCACTGCCAGCAAGCAGAGGTGTATGTTCATACCCTCAGACACTTTGTCACCAGACATAGGTGTGTACATACATAGGCACATATATTTATGGGCATGGATTGCCACACACCAGAACGTGATCTAGCATTTGATCTGCTTTGCCATGTCCACAAAATGCATCGCCGTGAAACAAAAGTCACGCTGTCCCTCGGCTAAAGACCAGCTCAGGGTTCCCTCAAATACCTCCGCAGCACCTGAGCCCTTGGTTCATGCACCCTCATTTTACTCTCTGCACCTTTTTCTCTTTCGCTAATCCTTTGGCGTCAAGATTTTCGGTTCTGTCACCTGCTTTCAAGAACCCGGCTGAAGTTCTCAGCATTGTTTTTTTCAGGAGCTGTACAGCAACGGGAAGGTCACGCATTCTCTAGCAGAGAGCGGCACAGAGCTGACAAGTTCCCATTGCCTTCCTGGCGCAGGTTGCAAACAAGATCTGCGTTGTGGCCGTCTAGGACCTGCGTCGTGCGTGTGTTTGGTTCAGATTTTTTCTCCTTGTTCTACCATGGGGGTGGACTTGTACTGCAGCAGTTCTTCACTCTTACAGCGCTCTCCACCCCCACCCCGACATTCATCTATTGACTCTGCTTAGGAAATCTATTCCCTCTTCTCTTGGCTTTGCAGATGAGAGAAATGGCCATCGCCTGCTTCCTTAAAGGGCAGCTCAAGGACTCTCTTGGCCTTTATTGTGAAAGAAATGGTCCTGCCATTTGAGAGATGGATGAGCCTTCAGAGGAGAGAAGGGCATGTCCTCTTCTCCCAGAGCCCTCGGCAGAGAAGCCCACTCCGAACTCGAGAATAAGTTTACCCTTGGCTCTCTCTTCCTCCTCCTCCTCCTCACCCTACAGGGTCGAAATTAGCTCTGTTTGGACCAAGAAGCTTAGTCTCACCCTCACCAAGGCAATGATTTTGTTTTTAAACGTATTTCATACTGTTGGTCTTCAAGCCCAGACCAGGAAGTTTTCTAGACCCCCCGGAAACCTTGGCTGTCCTTCAAATTGCTGAAGGGAGCCCGAACTACCTTCCTGTCTTCCTCAGCCCACCCTGAGCCCGACATGGTCTTCTCATCACAACAACCCCGCAGAGGAGGACAAGCTGCCAGCTGGCCCAAGGTCATCTCTTGAGTGGAGATCTCAACGGGGCTCTCCTCAGGTTCATGGACAGACATCTTATCCCAGTTCTTTCCCCCCCCCAAAAAAATTCTTCTGCTCTCCCTCCTCGTAAGATCACAACCCCATAGAGCGTCCCAATCAACTGGGAAGGGGCGCCCAACTGGGGGGAAAGGCTGCTCTAACTCCTACCCCACGCTGCTTGTAGCCTCTTTACTGTCCGAGAAAAATAAGGATATTGGGGAGGGGGGGTGTTTAAGCGAGCTTCTCGCCTTACCTGGCCCCGCAGGAGCCTCCGGACCTCTGGGAAGTTAACGTGGTGGCGGCTGCGGGAGGAGCGCCCCGCCTGGAAGCCAGGAGCCCCGCGAAGCCTCCGGCGGAGAAGAGATGGAAGGGGGGACCCCCGGCCGGGAGCGCTCGCCGCCCGGCGCCTTCCCGGGGCAGAAACTCGGCGGGCGAAGAAGAGG